ATAACAATAAGAAATTATTATTACACCGATAAAAATAAAAACAAACAGACAACAACAATATACAAAAAGAAGAAAGGCCAATTAGGACCCTACCTCAGCTTAATGCTGTTACAATGGGACGGGAATATTCCCACCGTAACAGCGCTGGTATTCTGGCAGGGCCTGTACGAGATTGCTAGAGTATAAAATAAAATATATATAGTTTAATATATTATTTATAGTTTAATATTAAAATATATATAGTTATAATAGAATACATAAACTGAGTTAAATAAATAAATATAGTTTAATTAAATTCGTAATGCAATAAGGCCGCAAGTGTTACCCACGCGCCCACACAGCGAGAGCCGAGCCCGGAGTGTAGGAACAGAACGCAACCCCAGCGGCCAGCCTGACAGTGACACTGACAAATTAGTGAAATATAATGTCCATTGTAATGCCACGTTTACGAAACGCGTTTTCATTCCCAATTTTGCCACGCACGATGGTACGCCATTATGCCACGTTTAAAACTATGTTTGTGGTTTGAGAGACAAGAAAATGGAGAACGTGCATTATGTGTAAAAAAGTATATTCGGAGGTGTCCAACAATATCCATTGACGCAAGAGCTAATTTTGTTACAGCCACAATTGTGCCGATACAAACCAGGTGGTAAGTTACACATTACTACTATTATTGAGTTGAAGAAAGAAATGATACTTTTGAAGGTTCTTTTTAAACGAACTAATGGTTTTCAGATCGCGAAGCGGAGGGGGAAGATCATTCCAGCACCTTGTGGCAGCAAATTTAAAAGATCCGCGAAAGGCTCTTGAATGATGTGTAGGAGTTTTAAAAATTGGCTTACACACCCGCCTAGGATATACACTATGACCTTGTGCCCATGTGAGTTTGTTATACAAATAAATTGGTTTACCTGATGTAATGACTCCAAATAGTAGACTGGCGAGATGAAGTTTTCTCCGTGCCTCCATTTTCAGTAAGTTAGAATTGTTAAGAAATGGAGTCACATGAGCTCTTGGTGGTACATGAAAGCAAAACCTAGCGCAAGCATTCTGCACACGCTGAATAAGTTTAGCTGTCCTCGCCAGGATACATGAATCATACACCGTATCACAAAAGTTCAACTTAGATAATATAAGTGACTCACATAGACTGATTCGAAGTTGCTCATTTAGATAAGGTCGAATTTTATAAAGGAGTTTGAGGCGATAGAAGCAACTACGGACACAGTCAATGATATGAGTTTCAAAATTAAGTTGGCTATCAAAGGTTAGTCCAAGATTCCTACACCTGTCAACACGATCTAAAGCTTCATTGTTTAGAATAATCCGTAAAGGTGTGTTTTGGAAACGTTGGACTTTCTTCTTAGTACCTATTAGCATGAATTTGGACTTTTTGGGGTTGAGGACGAGGCAGTTAGACTGACACCAATCAGCTATTCTGGCTAGATCTTCATTGATCTTGTCCACAGCAGCTTTCCAGTTATCAGGGGCAAAAGAAATATATAATTGCAGGTCGTCGGCATACAAGTGGAATTTGCAGTGTGATATTATATTGTGAGTAATGTCGGCACTGTAGAGAACATAAAGATTGGGACCCAATATTGAGCCCTGTGGTACTCCACGCAATACAGGGCACGAGGATGAATGGGACTTAACACCAGCTGCATCAAGAAGCTCCACATACTGTTGTCTATGTGTTAAATAACTTTGAAACCATTTTAGGGTCTGCGTATCTGCTCCATAGAATGAGAGTTTTGACAGCAGCAATGAGGTATTTAAAGTTTCAAATGCACGGGAGAAATCAAGGAGTACAAGAATACTAACACACCCCTGGTCTTGAGCTGAGAGAACATCATCAACCACGTTTAACAAAGCAGTAGCTACTCCGTGACCCCTGCGGAAACCTGACTGGATCGGTGGCATGATGTTATTCTCTTCAAGGTATTCCGTGAGTTGATTGCATACTACATGTTCCAGCACCTTAGAAAGACAGGGCAACAGACTAATGGGTCTCAGGTCCTGGAGAGCTGATGGAGGGTTGTTCTTGGGAATAGGCTTGACAACCGCAGTCTTCCAGGCATCTGGGAATGTACCCTCTGTTATTGATCTATTGACGATGGTAGTGATGGCATCAAGTGTATGTGGAAGTGTCAGGAGTAACATGTCCAACGAAACAACATCACAGCCCTGAGCATTCGACCTCAGCCCTTTAATAATTTTAGTAACTGTGTCCTCATCAACAGGCTTTAGTGAAAGCTTAGCAGTAGAGTGACGCTGAAATTCATAATAAGTCAGCTGGGATACTGATACAACATTATGACCGGGAGCACTGAGGAAGTGCGTATTGATCTTATCAGGATCGTTGAAACAGGGAGGAAGTTCAGATGTACCTTTCCCTTTGCTAAAAACGGTGGATTTCAAGTTGTACCACAACTTCTTTGAGTTATTAATATTGTGATTGATATGTTTATTGAAATAACACCTTTTTTCCCTTTCAATAGCCTCGATCACTAGATGCTTCATGGTCAGATAGCTGTCTCTGTGTGTCCCTGTTCTATTAGCCTTGTAATTCAGCATGAACCTGTCCCTAATACGCATCATTGATTTTACAGAATCTGTGATCCAGGGGTGAGGAGGATGCCTGAATTTCTGTTTCTTGATTGGTGCATGAAGATCGAATAACCCAACAAGACAGAGTGTGAAGTTCTCAACCAAAATATTGATGTTGTCAGCTTTTTTAAAATAGCTCCAGTCAATGGCCTCAAGATCACTCTCCCATTGATCCTGGAGAATATTTTTTAAGGGTCGGTATTGGACCCAGCGAGGTTGTAACTTTTCTTTTTTTATTTTGAATTCTGCTGAGACCATAGCATGATTCCCCAGATCTGGGATGTGTTTGACTGTGATACTCAATGTGCGTATATCAGTACAAATCACATCCAATAAAGTATGACTGTGATCAGTGAAGTGGGTAGGTTCCGAGACTACCTGCTGTAAATTTAAGGTTTCAAGGAACTGTGAAAGCATCCATGACTTACTGGTGCCAACACCATGTAGGTCAACATTAAAATCACCCAGCAAAATCAACCCATCGTGCTTGGAAAAACAAGCAACAGTGTCAGTAACAGCGTCGAAAAATACATTAGCGTCTAGCCATGGTGGACGATATGCGGTTCCTATAATTATATTCTGATTATGCAAGCGTACATTCAACCACATCTGCTCAACAGTAGATACTATGGGGTGAGGGCAGGTACGTGCATTAATACCTTTGCGGATGTAAAATCCCACCCCACCACCACGACCACCACGTATGTGATCAGGGCGGGGGATGTGTCGCAAACGGTAGCCTGCAAGCTGAGGTGCTCTGTCCTCCTCGCCCTTCCTCAACCAAGTTTCGTTAATAGCCATTATATCGGGATTCAATTCTTCCATAGCAACCAAAAACTCCTCGTGTCTTGTAGCTAGTGACCCTGCATTAAAAATACCAACTTTAAGATATCCGAAATTAACCATTTGTTGATATTGAGGGGTATATAATATACATGTATTTATAAAACTTACGGATGAAAAGGCATAAGTCTGAATTAAGGGTCAATATGTGAACTATACTTTGGACAATGTAAAATAAGCAGCTTAGTGTATGTTTCAATAATAAATAAATAAAGTTGTAAATAGATGTAAGAGAATTTAGTATTGATACTGTAAAATAAGTTACATAAATAATAATAATAAAATTAGTGTAAAATAGGCATAAGTTATTTGAAATACATTTTTTATTATACATTCTGTGACCGATGTTATTATTTGAAGGCCATGTTTGTTGAAAAACAATTGCATTCTTTGACACAAGGTAAACCAGATCAATACTCAAAAAAGTTATCATGGAAAGCATAATTAAAGATAAGTTAAGAATCATATTCTGAAACATTATACAACAAACCTGAATAAAAAAGGTAAAGAATTCTACTTACGAATAGTACGACAAAGAAATGAGTCACCAAATTTCTTTGTTCGTGTAAAAAATATATTAGTTCGTGTATTAAATATAATATTGGATAGACTAGTGTTTATCAATTATTTTTAATGCAGGAGACATAGATTGCCGTGGAGATGGCTGTCAGCCTGTATGTTTAATTTCTTTAAAAAACACCGAAGACGTTTTTTTAATACTTTACAAATTTTTATATTGGACCACAAATTAATCCAGAGTGTTGGTTAACTCCATACCAAATTTTATTAAAATCTCCAGCCGTTTAGACGTGAAGAAGTAACAAACATACGCACTCACAAACTTTCGCCTTTATAAATAGGACCTAGCTTATAAATTCAAGAAAAATCATTGGCAAATAGTTAACAATTCCAATATATAGACAACCCAAAGTGAGTTTGGATTTTGCTTCAACCCCCCTTGCGATTCATAGTTTAATGCCCTTCCGGCGAGTCTAGGTAGTTCTGGCGCCCGAGTACTTTTTTAATTTATTTCGACCTATCCATATTGCTTTAAAACACATTTTTTGTCTTTCCCACATAAAACCCTTTTTTTATATAATTGTAGGTATAAAAAAAGAAAATGGTAAATATAAACACTTATATGAATTATTTAGATCATGAAATTGGACCGACTGAACCAAGACATGATTTAAGAATCTACAGAGAAAAAGAAATCAACCTTTCTTCTAGTAATTGTACCTCAACTGAAATGCTCTATCTAGACCAGAAGGTTTGACTACCAGGAAGTGCTCAAAAACGCTGTAGTTCACAAACACAAAGTTGAGGGTAAAAGATTATTCTATAAAGACAAATATGTTGTGTAAGACCAACAAACAACAAGAAAATCACGAATCCAATACAAATAATAACACAAAATTACGTTGCTTTCATACACAATCATGTTTAATACTAGAAGTACACAAATATTGTAAGATGAAATGTAACTTATAAGATTGTTAATAAAGTCTTTATTATATTTAGTATGTATTATGTTGTGTACTTACTTGCTATATCAGTCGGGGCGTGTGCCAGTACAGGCTCCCCCGCTCCCATCTTGAGGATCACACCGCCGCCTTCCGTCATACTCAACCTCCTGCTGTAGCTCAGCTCACGCCCTGGTAGTATTTAAAATAAGAATATTAAAGTACATAAGTACTATAGAAAATTTTAGTAGGAAAAATACACATGGTTCATGAAGCAGACGGGACTCGAAGCCTCACCCTCCGCTATCCGGGCGGATGCATTGACCGATTTTCTCGTAAAATTTTCTTTATATTTAAAAATGTAGCAGTTGAATTCTTAAAAAATATAATAAACTACGTAAGTACTGCTTTTTGTTATTTTTATTACCATATACGTATTTATTATTTAACTGATAATATAACTGTTGCTTATATTCAGTTTCATTAAGATCTTACTTCAAAAGAATAGCGTTAAAATGGTATACCAACTCTAGCTAAACTCTAGATACTCGTAGACCAATGTTGATATTACATTACATTCATACGGCCTTTAATTCCTTATTTCTGTTTTCGAAGTAGGTTCATATTGTATGATGTTTCATTTGAACGTAACTATGATTTATTTTAAAAGACAAATAAATTGGAAATCTTGCAGATATACTTCCTGAACAATCGTTCTAATGTTATTAGTTTATCAAATTGGCTTCATTTAACATCGTAATAGACACCAACTGCGCAAATTGTTTTAGATATCGGTTATGGTTTGTATTGTGTAAGTTCATGGTTTATTTTCAAACAAACTGCCGGTATAGAACGGATTGTGTAAACCAAAACAAAACACTTACGAATAATTTTCTAGAAAATAGTTCTCTACAAACATGAAATTGTTGTTATGATACATACTTAGTATCTACTTTATGTTTACATATCTGTCGTCCTTAATCTTATATTTTAATTATAATCGTTCGATGTTGTTGGTGTAAAGGAGACATGTGTCATCAACAGCCTATCCTAGTCCACTGCTGGAAATAGGCCTCTGCAATTGCACGCCTTGCAATTTTCTAGAAAATAGTTCTCTACAAACATGAAATTGTTGTTATGATACATACTTAGTATCTACTTTATGTTTACATATCCGTCGTCCTTAATCTTATATTTTAATTATAATCGTTCGATGTTGTTGGTGTAAAGGAGACATGTGTCATCAACAGCCTATCCTAGTCCACTGCTGGAAATAGGCCTCTGCAATTGCACGCCACTCAGATCGATCTTGGGCTACTCGTTTCGAGACATGTTTAATAAAAAATATAGGAATGAGTAACCCAAATAAGATAACATTTAAAATATAATCAACATTATACGCGAAGGAAAAATGTACAACATGTACCTTTTTAAGCACCTTTTCCTTATGTGAGATTTTGCACAATAAAACTCCATATCACAGTATGTTTATGTTTTATGGAGATGTTCCGAAAACTATCGACTGATTTTTAAATAATGCATTTATTAATTGCAATAATTTGTATATGTTTAATGGAGATGTTCCGAAAACTATCGACTTTTTTTTTAAATAATGCATTAGAAATACATCTGTTACTCTATATTAAAAAAAACTGGCAACTAACCAGCTACCAGCATGCTACGCGCTACCCACGATGACTTCCAGTACCCTAAGTACGAGTTTGAGCTCACGAAAACTATCATAGTTTTCGTAATTGTAAATTATGTTTCTATATCCATTTTGGTAAAAAGGAACCAAATATACTTAAAATTTAAGAAGAAGCAAATGATTTAATGATAGAATTTAAACACTGTTTATTTGTATGGAAACGAAAACAATAAAATCAGTACCCTTTGTAAGAGTGCGAGCTCACGAAAACTCATAGTTTTCGTAATTGTAAAACTCGTACTAAGGGTACAGGTAGCGCGGCGGCTGGCCGTGTGACGAATGCACGCCCAGTTGCAGCACATTGACAACGAGTGCCAACGCGAATAAATGAAAGAGCACATGTAAAGACAGCGGGCCCACCCCTTTGAAGGGCGCCCAGCCAAATGTGTTCCACATACTACCTAGTGGTATTCTAAAGGACAATGGGCAAAACACACCCAGCTCCGCCAACAATGTAATTAGTATGAATCGATAGATGTATGAAAAACTAGCCTTTTTTAATATGACACCGTCAAAAAATATCCTGGTAGTCGAAAGATATTACACATGGGCATATTTAAGTAGCTAAATAAATTCATTTTATAGTACTTTCATTTTATTTTGTTAGTAGCCATAATAATATACTATATCGTACTATACAACCAGATATACGACAAAGCCTGCCGACCATCCTGCGTTTGCATGCTCCGCTTTACATAGAAGACAATTTACTATAACGAACAGAATGTTTCAAAAATCCCCAACCCATGCGGAAATTTTTGGATTTACTCTAGCGCGGCAGTATAACATAAGGGGGCATCCATGCACCTTGTGAAGTACTCCCATAATATCTGAGTCCCCTATGTACGGTCGAACTAACTAGATTAATTCCCTTGTTTCATAAATGTTCGTTCGATGTAGTACTTGTACCTATTTAACTTAAAATAACTAAATATTACCGGGATGGAATTTGATGCGCTTTGGCACAGATGATCATTACTATAATACCTTTTCTTGTCGTTTAAGCCCTGGCGGACGTGGGTGCAGCGTCCATACATTTTTGCCCAATGTCCTTTACCAACAAGAAGTATGTAGTTGATAGCGAGCAGCAGAAGTCCTCTAACGGCGCTCTGCCCACGATGACTTTCGGGTGGCGCGGCGGTTGGCCGTACGACGAGTGGACGCCCAGTTGCAATGCGTTGAAAACGAGTGCCAGCGTGAAGGAAGCAAACAGCACCTGCACTGACTGCCAGCCTTCCACTTCGATGCGCGCCCAGCTGAAAGTGTTCTGCAGAGGACTTGGTGATACTCTATAATAAAAAAAAACTGCTAACTAACCAGCCAGGAGCATGTAGTTGATAGCGTGCAGCAGAAGTCCTATAACGGCGCTGCCCACTATGACTTTTGGATAGCGCGGCGGTTGGCCGTGCGACGAGTGTACGCCCAGTTGTAGCGCGTTGACAACGAGTGCCAGCGCGAACGAAGCAAACAGCACGTGCACAGACAGCCGGCCCACTACTTCGATGCGTGCCCAGCCAAACGTATTTCGCAGACGACCTTCGCGGCCTGCGCTCTCGTCTGCTCTTTCATACTGACAACATCATGTGAGGTAAGATATATTAATGACTTAAAAGCAGCTGTATATAGGTAAGATGTAGGTAAACTTACACTTAATATCAGCTGTATCAACTTACTTAGTTAAGTAAATAAATAAATAATTAAGTATAATAATAATTTCCACTGCAGCAGTTGTTTCAGGTTGTAGTGTAAAGTTTTTAGATATGAAATATACAATGTTTTGTTTTTTGTATGCAATGTACAGAAAATATCTGAAATGTAGCCACAAACGTTTTTAAAAAAATGAGATTTATTAAACTCATTTGTTTCTTAGGTTTTAACGCACACCACTCATTAAATAAAACAAGTTTCAACGGTATAGATGCACTGATTTATTTATTTATCACGTATCGCATCCTTTTCAGGCTACGTCGTCAGAATTATGGTTTTATTTACTTTGTCGAGCTACCTTCGAAATACTTTTTTTTTTTCAATAAATAAATCAGTACATCTTTACCGTTGAAACTTGTTTTATTTATCTATTTCGGCTCTGTGCCTATGGCCTGACCTTTAAAATTACCTCTCTTGTTTATGGTGGTGAAGTAGGTGTGTAGAGTCTGTGCGGAAAGAATATGGGATTAATATTTGAGGGCGCTGTAGTGCTTTTCTACCGTATTTGTAAGGTTTTACGCCTTTTAGACATGATTAAATACAAAAAAAAAACCGCAAGAAATCACAATAACAAACAAATCCGTATCAATACAAAACTTTGACGTTTTGCAGATTGCTGGTTTTGATTGCCAAATAAACATCTTAATGTTAGTTCCGTTTTTCGCCACGCCCATTCTCTTTCCGCACAGACTCTACAGCTATTTCCTATCCTTTTTCTTTACCTTACTTACCTACTCTGTGTTCCTCTAGTCGGCTAGTTGCGGTCTACTTTATAGCATGTTGTCTATGTTGTTGACCGCCATCGTAAGCTTTCTTTTTATGCGAAAGAATGGGTGTGTACAATAGCTAATAGTTAAGTTATAGAAGTAAAATACAACGTTGTGTAACATTCGTAAAAGGAATAAAGGTAAGTTTATTCTTTTATTCCAGATTTCGAATAAGATATAAAGTTCTCAGCCCCTGACGATTTTACGAAAATGAGTTTCGGAATAATACATGGTTTAAGTCCAGAGGCAACTCCGGTCTCGGGGATCATGCCCAGACGGCAGTCGTGTGATTACTCCTATTCGCGCAAAAATAGCATCCTGAAAAACTTGGCCTGACCAGACGTGAGTTTCGACCCTACCGGCCCGGGAATTGATCCGGAATTCGCACCCGACAGCTTATGATCTCTTACAACTTAATTCGATTCATGTGGCTATAAATAGATAAATGATACTTCATTTCATACTTGAACATTCAATGTACCCTTATTTTGTCTGTATAGATGGCAACTTCTCAAGACTTTGTGACACTGGGTGATTTATTCATGAGAAACCGCGATGAAGATGACGAAGAACTGTTGTCCTAAGTTAAAATAATTATAGAAGAAAGTCTACCTCCTGGATAGAGAGACTGGAAAGTCGTAGATTGGTCTAAAGAAGAACTTTTGGGCAAGAAAATCGCCCATAGAGTGCTAAATAAGATTCATTTTGCCATCCCGCCCGTAAAACTCGTCCAGGCCTTTCTCCCCGAAGCGAAATCGATCGGCGAAAAGTCATATAAAAATATGAAAATCAAACTTTTAGAGTGGGATACTTGCAGGGCGCTTATAACTAACCCAAATCACGTAGTTGCAAAGCTGCTTGGATTATCAACTCAATCTGAAATGTTTAATAGAGCTGTCGAGCCTATAAGGGCATGGGTGTATTCTAGGGAGCAGATTTCAGATGCCCAATCAACCAACATCGAAGCACACCAAAACAGAGTAGTTAGAATTCTTCTAGATCAAACTCAAAGAATAAAACGTGACCTAAAACAACTCCACTAATAAAACGATAACGCACTAGGCGCCTAGTATCTTCTTCATATTCATAACATTTAGCCAAAGCAAGGCCATCACTGAACCGTTCCCGCTCGGCATCTCTAGCATCAAACTCTGTTAAGCGCAGATATTAGTCTTCTTCTTCTTCTTCATATTCACTAAGAAGAGAACACACTGATTCTAGACTGGATCGAATGGAAGGTATTATTCAAAACCTGCACGAAATGATGTCCACCAACGAAAAATATGAAGAGGAATCTTAAACCACGAGGAATCTTTAAGGCGAACACCTAGCCCTGGACATGTACTCATTTGTGGGACGAAGCAAAAACTCCAAAACACTATTGAAACTCACGGTGTCTCTAAAATTACTCCTCCTCCTCGTCGACACTTAGCAGACAAAGAAATAAAGGAGCAACCACGAAAATCTACCTTTACAAAACCAAAACAACTTCAAAATACAAAATAATAGGAAAATTGATTTTGAATTGCGTGAGTGGCAGCACAGAAATCAAGCTACAAACGAAAAAACTAACCAAAAAATGGTTGCCTGTAAAGTCGGTTTTACGGGCGAAGATTTTACGTGACAACGTCTTTTTCTCGGTAGAATATTTATTGATATGAATATAATTAAATTGCACAATAGGAACAAGGAATTGAATGAAAATAAGAATTGCACAAATTTTAACTATAGAAATATATATAATACGTCAAAAAAACATATTACAATGCATTGTGCTTGTGAATACCATCGTAGCATGCAACCACGCTACGACGATTCGTAGCAAACTTGCTACACGGCTACGGGGTTCCAGCATGCTACGAGACTCATCGTAACGTTACCGAGCGTTACACTTTTTCATAAGTGACTCCCAGCCGCAACCTAATTTAAGACGTTGTCACGTCAAAAACGTCATACTTTTAAGGAAAAAGTGGAGAAGAGAGACGACGCTATTTTTGACTATAGCGATTTTCGAGCGGAAGACTTTGAAGACTAGCCAGTCACAAAAAATATAAAAGATACTTTGAAACAAAAACATATTAATACAATCGGACAACAAAACAGCTGTGGCGTACATAAAAAATCAACGAGGGACAAAGTAGATGACATTATTAAATTTAGCGGGAAAAATTTTAGCTCTAGCATAACGTCAAAATATAGAAATAAAGATAGAACATATTGCAGGACAATACAGCGTAACAACAGATCATCTATCAAGGGGCAAAACATTATCAGATTGGTATCTATCGAGCTCGATACGCGAAATAACTTCCAAGAAATGGGGGCTCCCATGTATCGACCTCTTTGCAACAAAAACCTCCGCGATTGTGGGGAAATATGTAACGAGATTTCCATGGAAAGAGGCAGAATTTGTGAATGCATTCACAAGGAAGTGGAATTACAATCTGGGGTGGATATTTCCCACTTCGCCATTAATTCCCAGGATTTTACAACACCTCAATCAATGTCGAGGATATTATCATAATATATATCATAATAGTCCCCAGATGGGAAAATGTCTTCTGGAGACCGATCCTCAAGAAAAGAGCTCTCGACAAACCACTAACGATATGGAACTTAGGTGCCTATCTCATAGATCTACAGACCGATACACTCCAAAACGCAAGATTTATACTTGGAAGCATGGAAGGCACGGGGTGGTGGTGGGGTGAATCTTGTGAAAAATCGGTCAAACAAAGAAAAGCAGATTATGGAAACTTCATTGCGTAAGTCATCTCTTAACACTTATTCAGCAGCCTGGAAACGCTGGTGTTGGTGAGTTGCAAATAAAGGAGTTTCTAAAGGTCAGAGGACAGAACTTGCTCAGTATATTTGCTTCTCATATTATAAGAATAAATTATCGTATGGAACTAAATACCTACATAAATCCACTATTGCAACATTTTTGAACCCCTTCAATGCTCATAAAATATCTAACAGTCCAGCAATAAAACATATCTTGAAAGGAATCGCAAACAAAAATATTCATACACCTCGACCGAAAATTTGGGATATAAATAAATTAGTATCTTGGATACGCCACAACACTCCAGAACCAAGCAATCTGGTTCAGGTCTCGAGACATCTAGCCCTTCTACTCCAACTGTCCTCCGGAAGGAGAGTACACGACTTGACAATTCCCAGGACAGACTCAGATTACTTAGAACAATCAAAAAACGAGGTTATTTTCTGGCCCATGTTCGGTTCTAAAACAGACAAGTCCGATTATATTGGTACAATCAGGATGGAAATTACTTAAGAATGAGCAACAATTATAGGATATTATACACTGGCTTAAGCAATACAGTAAAATATCTCATGGAAGAAAAGCCAATAGCCAAGCTATCATATATATCATTGTTTATTACAACTAGAGGAAAGATTGGCCCGGGCTCACACGCAATAATAACTGGCCGGGTGGCAACTTTTAGATTTAATAACTGCCTGTCGTTGGATGAAGTTTTAAAGAAAGGTAATTAATTGGCAAGGCCCCAATAATTTCTTCAAATATTATTAAAAAGAAATTGATAATCGACCTGCGCGGTTGTTAATAGGAACAGTATTACTGATTGTTTTGTACCATTGTGTGAGACTGATTAGTATTAAATAGATGGTTATAAAATTATAATTAAGAGGCTGTTACTAATGCTCTGGAAGTTTCATGTTGTTTTTTTTTTAATCAAAAAGTTTTGTCAGCTTACTCCTATAACATTTAAATTTGTTAAAATGTTACTTTCAAAGGAAGTAAACGGTAATTTCATTTCATTTCCGTGTTCTCGTTCAAAAAGACTAAATATGTATTCCCTATCCAATCAAATAAATTGTTATAGTACTTATTCCTAAATAAAAAATAGGATATCACACTACGCTGCTGTACTTTAGCTGTTGCTAGCATGCTGGCAGATTCAAGACACATCTCAAAGGTCAGGCCATAGGCACAGACGCGTAATAGACCAATTTTTTCCTCGAAAATTTATATTTCGGGTCTTGCCCTAGGCCTGACCAAGGCAATTAATTGCTGGCCGATGGTACTGAAGAAAAGATGGCAGTCAGTAACATAGACAATATGTCATAAAGTAGACTGCGACTAGCCGACACACAGATTATAGAGAAACACAGAGTAGGTAAGTAAGGTAAGGAAAAGGATAGGAAATAGCTGTACACACCTACTTCACCACCATAGACGAGAGAGGTAATCTCAAAGGTCAGGCCTACGGCAAGACCCGAAATATTAATTTTCTACCCTTCGGGGGTAAAAATTTAAGCGCGCATAATTATTTAATAGGTAGGTTTATCCTAATAAGTTCTTATTTGGTAAGAGAGGTAGGGCATAGCGCATTTTCCCCCCGAATTGGAGCGTCTGTCTGGGGAAGTAATCTCTACCTCGCAGAAGACCACAGTAAAATACCTTTTATTGGTGTTGTGTTTCTGTCGGTGAGTGAACTGAAGGTTTTAGGGCTCCACCGGGTAGGGGATATGGTCAGGGTAGACAATGGTGCGAGAGATATATAGGCTATGGTGGCCACTTACCATTAGGTGGGCCATGAGCTTGTTTGCTTCTTTGCCCTTTTAACATAAAAAAAGTTCTCAAATAAAGCATCCAAAAGTTCGGCAAGTACCTTATATGCTAGAACTGTTGTTATAAGCCCGACCAGCCTGCAGAGCGTGTGGCAGGTGTCCACGAGCAGGGTGGGCGAGTGCGTGAAGTGCGAGGCGAACAGCCTGCCGCTGAACCCCGCCACTGCCAGCAGGAGTGCCAGCAGCGACCGCGGAGGAGGCAGCCATTGCAGCCACTCCTTCATCGCCATCTTGAAGGATTGACCTGATGAGTGGAGGGAAGGTACAAGTAACTTAGAGAAAAAACAAAGAAAAAAACTTCTTCTGTCCGTTCAGAAAAGCGATTTAGATTTTAAGTTACTCGAAGAATTGTTAAGTAAAACACTTGCGTTAAGCTTTCATATTCTAAACAAGTCCAACCACAAGAGTTAAAACATTATAGTGATTTTACTAATTAATATTGAGGTTTAAAAATATTATTTTTGATATTATTGGCTAGGCTGTCACTTATCTATAAATTTACTCGTAGATGTATTTTTGCATTTCGCTGGCCTTATGCAATTAAATTATTATCATGTATAATGCGTGTATCGTGGTTATGTCTTTTATATAATAAGTAAAGAAGAAAATGTAATCTTTAAATAATTTTGTCAAAAACATTTCAAAAATTAATGATGAAGAATCAATTTTGATTGTTAAAATGTAAAGAAAATTAGTAATATTTTATTTAGATTTAAGCATGTAGCAGTTAAAGTTTAAAAATATAGAAATGTTAAAGTGTTTCTTTTTGGGTGATAATGTTCACTGTCAGATCATTATTACGGCTCAAGTTTATTACTCTCAATTTAATCTAAGTTCTCAATATTTTTTCTGAACCAGCGATTATTAGCCAATTTTGGGCGAAAGTAAAATTAATTAGGCATATCAGCGGAATTGTAGGAAATAGAAAGTCCCCCATTATGGCAATTTTACCTTAGAGAGGTTGGATAGAAGTTTGAATTCGGTTTTTATGCCAAGCTTAATTTTCTAGCGGAGCTTCGACGATGTCATAACAAAAAATAGTGTTTAAGTTTCATTCATAATATTTTTATCGAGTGTAGGTACCTAAGATTCTATGATATAAGTGGAAACGCAAATTTAATAAATTTAAATTATTTTTAGACTACTTTTCAAAATAACAAAATACTACTTTAACAAAAAAATATGATGTAATAAGAAATTAAACCTTCTTAATTATAACATCACTACACTTTGAATAATACAAATTTACTATTGGTAATTTTTTGCTTTATAACTAAATACAAATAGGAGCATATACCATATTTATAGCATAATTTTTACAGTACATTTCCGAGAAGCATAATTTTGTGATCTGCGATTGACTCGCCGATTCTCTACGTCCGTCTTGATCTGAGGAAGATGACATTCAGAGCTGTAATTGACTGTCTCCGGCAATTTAGATGAGTTGTGTGGCCTTTGGTCTTGTTGTACTTATATAGATAGTTTATCTGTGCTCTTGTTCAAATATAACGCCACTTACTTCTATTTTTAATGGTCTCATGTCCACTAAAAGTTTTAGGAACTGGTCACCCACATTAAATAGATTTTAAAGCTAATTGCAACATTTGAACATGAAGCTTTTTGACTTTAAAATGCTCTTTTACCTAGACCCTATTGTCGCTTGTTACATTTTGGAGTTATTTTAAATATTGTGTTAAACTTAAAAGTAAATTTAACATTAGTCATTCTGTATGACAAGGATACACTGCCGTCAACTTTAATTTTAGGTTTAGAGAATCATGCCATGAATCGACCAATGTTTTACAACATGTTTGGGCAAAATTTGGTTGACCTTTTTTCTTAAAGTCGTGACAATTTTTAACCGACTTCAAAAAAGGAGAAGGTCTGTGTTCGACTGTATATTTTTTTAAGTATGTTCACCGATTTCTCCGTCAATTGTGAACCGATTTCCAAAATTCTTTTTTTATTCGAAAGAGTGCACTTCCGAGGTGGCCCCATTGGAACCAAGTCAGGATCTGATGGTGGAATCCGGGGAAAGCAAGGTGTTAAATATAAGGACTGGGTAGTGCACAAGTGAAACGAGTCGCTGCTAGTTACGCACTGCTTTATTTGACAGACACGACAGTGGTCGCAGCCATCTGCCATCCATATGTATATACATACATAACACTCCTCCCTCTTAGATGACTATCTACTTTAAATAAACTATTATATAAAAGAATTAACCATAACTGGGTTATACAAAAATATGCCTAATCACTCTCCGCTTCTTCAAACAAGCTTGTGTCTGTTTGAGGGGAAGTCTCAATCTCCTCATTCCTCCCCCCATTCTCTGTGTACTCCTGGCAGGCCGGCGGTGATTCACTCGGTAAGTACAACTCGGCTCTTCTATCTCGGCGTAACGCTGGCATATGACCGGAATCTGGTGATGACAGGGAATCTACTGACAGAGGTGGTAATGACTCCACGTTGACAAGTGAGTGCGCCTCGTCGTTGGAAGCAAAGTGAGATGGACTGAGTTGTACCGTCGGCGGTGTAGTTGTAGGCGGTGGCGACGTTGGCGGTAAAGACGGCGACAATAGCGGCGGCGGCGGCGTTGTACATAACCCAGGTATGTATGTATTGTCTTTTATCTCGCCTTTATATAACAATATTTGATTTTTGTGTCTCTTAATACATTCAGAGGTATTGCAATCCTGTATTAAATACAACACTTTCCCTACTCTTTTAATTATGATGCCTTTACACCATGTAAAATTGGATTTATTTGTGTATTTTTTATATAATACATTATCATGTTTTTTAAAGAAATCTTTTTTATTTAAAGTTATTTTATCAGATTGCGAACACTGTGAAATTTTCCCTAAGTTAGGTACTGCAGGTATCGAGGGTGACGATGGCTTGAGCGATATTAAATCTAGTCTTGAACGTAATTTATGACCAAATAATATTTGGGAAGGTGAATGGCCTGTGGTAGTATGGATTGAATTACGATAATCCATTAGGTATCTTAATAATTTAATAGATGTGTCCCTAGCAGTATTACTCGACAGTAAAGAAGTCTTAATACCCTTCTTAACAATTTTTACAAAACTTTCTGCCTGCCCGTTACTGGCTGGATGATAAACGGGTGAAGTTAGGTGTGTAATACCATTTACTTTACAAAAAAATTCAAAATCTTGTGAGCAGAAAGCCGTTCCGTTGTCACTCACTAACGTCTTAGGGATACCAAACCGGGCCATAAAATCACACAATTTATTTTTTACTGCAGCTGAAGTGGTACTCGTATTCATGTTATATACTTCTACCCATTTCGAGTACGCATCCACGATAACTAGGTAGGTACAGTTCCTAATGGGCCCTAAGAAGTCTATGTGTACCCTAACGAACGGGCCGCACGGATATTCCCAGGACACAGGCGGTGCGCGGGGCGGCGCGGGGCGGAGCTGCGTACACACATCACACGAAGCTATCATGAGTTCCAAGGACTTATCAATACCGGGGAACCAAAACCGAGATCTAGCTTCTGCTTTTGTTTTTACGATTCCCAGGTGCGAAGTATGTAGTTCTTTCAAAATCACTTGATACAAACTCTCAGGTAAAACTATCTTGTGCCCTCTCATAACACAGCCCTGTTCAACCGATAGTTCTGATTTACATAAGAAATACGGTTTTATTCTTAAATCATTACATTTCGGTGGCCAACCATTGATAATAAATTTCATTATTTGATTTAGAATCACATCTTTATTAGTTTCTTCTCGTAACTTATTTAAGGTAACCGGCATACTGTCATTGTCCATGACAAAACAAATGTAAGTAGCGCGATCGCATCCTATCTCTGTCTCGCGGCAATTTTGTTCGGTGCACGTGCACCGCCCGCGCCGGCGAGAGTGCAGGTGCGGGCCGCCGCTGTCGCCTCTCGGAGCTGATAAGCTTGCGCGAGACAGATAATCTGCACAATTATCGCTGCTACGTACATATTCAATTGTGTAGTTATAACTACTAAGAAATATCGCATATCGCTGCAGCCTATTTGCAGACATTTCGGGTATTCCTTTATACGGACCGAAAATAGAAAGCAACGGTTTATGGTCCGTACGTAATATAAATGGCACTGATCGACCGTACAGATATTGGTGGAACCTACGGACTCCGTAAATAATAGCAGTGGCTTCTTTCTGTATTTGCGCATAACGTTTTTCAGCAGCATTTAATGTTCGAGATGCGTACGAGATGGGTTTTTCGGTGCCGTCTGCTTCGACTTGTGACAACACAGCCCCCAACCCACTCGGTGAAGCATCCACTGTCAATATTAATTTAGATTTAGGATTAAAATGAGTTAAAACCTGTTCCGATGTCATGATTTTCTTTATACTATCAAATGCTGACTGATGTTCGGTTGACCAGTCCCATTTACGACCCTTTTTTAATAAATCATATAACGGGCTTAAAATGGACGATGCATTTGGTACAAAATTTCTATAATAGTTAATAAGGCCTAAAAATGACTGCAACTGATGAACATTTGTAGGCACCGAAGCTTCCGACATTGCTTTTACTTTCTCCGGTGCTTTCTTTAGTCCATCCCTTGACACAATATAACCTAAATAGCTAATCTCGTTCTTAAAGAAACTACATTTATCTTTATGTAAGGTTAGCCCGGCATCTTGCAGTCTACTCAGTACAGTGTCTAATCTCTCAAGATGCTCCTGGTGGTTAGCCCCCCCAAATATTAAAACATCGTCAAGCAGACAAACTACCCCGTCAACGCCGGTTAGGACGCTTTCAATTGCCTTTTGAAATATTGAAGGCGCGCTCGACAATCCAAACACCAATCTAGTGAAATTATAAAGCCCTTTGTGAGTATTTATGCATGTTAGACTTTGAGAATGTTCACTTAAAACAAGTTGATTATATGCGTTAGATAAGTCTAATTTCGAAAATAGTTTACCTCCGTGGATTTTGGAAAACAATTCATTAATTGTAGGTAATGGATATTGTTCCATTAGCAACTGTTTATTTATTGAAACGGAATAGTCGGCACATAGTCTTACCGATCCATCTCGTTTCAATACAGGTACTATGGGTGATGCATAGTTTGAGTATTGAACTGGTTTCAAAATGCCTAATCCGACCAATCTGTCGATCTCTTTACCTACTTTGTCCTTCAATGCAAATGCCACCGTACGAGCTTTAAAAAAAATTGGTTTAGCATTTTCTTTTACTTGTAAATTTATTGAA